TATACATATGGTATATTACATATATATAATAATAAAGAAAAACAATACTAATTATACGAATAAATCAGCTTCCATTTAAATACTATTGACAATGATCAGCTTACATACAGATTTATTTTAATGCACTTCAGTTCTCCTGTTTTTATGCCTTTGTTTTAATTTGATATAATTTTGTTTTGTTTTCCTTATTGTTACTTGAGACACATGTTCACAAACACACAGACACACACACAGCATACACAGAGAAAAAGAAATAGCTACGTTTAAGAAGTGAATTTTTGAATTAATGAAAACGTTTGTTTAAGTAAACATAAATGATAATTACATTTGTAGTTGAATACTATTGAAATATTGTGTTGTAATTGTTCCAAAATTTATATATAAAATACAAAAGAAAAACGATTAAAAAAAAAAAACAAACAAAATACCGAATAAAGTTGAAGACATTTAGTACTCGTTTACATAACTAAAAAAAAAAAAAACAAAGAAACATATTATGTGCATAGATGCCGTGGTATATATTTATATCTATATATGAATATATGCTATATGCTATATAACTAATCAAACATATTGTGGACCGTTGTTAAAACAACAAAATGCAAACACTTGGTAAAACACAATTTACAAAACACTGAAACTCAAAAAACAGACGATGCGTATACATTTTAGTATAAATCACATGAATATACAAATACGAGTAAATAAAATGGTAGAAAAATCAAATTTGATATCTTATTACTGTTATGATTATTTAGTTATTTGTGGGGGCACTTTTGGGTTGATGGTAGAACTATATAAATGGACACCTAAATGGTTATATGGAATGCAGGTGGCAGGCATCACCCAGTCGGGCATGCCCGACCAGAACATTCAGACTCGTTTGCACACACAATGTTGCTTGATTTACAAGACTTGCAAGTCAAGTTTAGCTATAAATCAAGAAAAAGCCCAAGACTCGTTTATTGAATATAGAATAACTAACTATAATTTGTGACGTAAAATCATATTAAAATTAAAACTAGTTTATGCAAATCTCATTGTAAGCATATCAGTTTCACGAATCAGAGCTCAAGGCTGGTTTCAGCCAGTATAAAGAGAACCTTCAAAATACATCTCCAAAAAGGTTTCAATACCTGTTTGCCAGCTGTTGCTCTTGACGCGTCAATGCGAAATTATAATAATAATATATTATACTTATTTTTGATAGTGCTAGAAATTGACCCACAGAAACCTTCCCTCGAGATCCCTTCAATAAAAATGCAAATATTTCAATTTTTTTTCGTGCATTTTACTTAACTAAGGAGTATAAGTATGTATGTATGTATGTAGTTGTGTAATTTGTATGTGTATATATGTATGTAGTGGTATTTAATGTTAAAATAATATCATTAATAGTTATGTTTTAATTCCCCATTGACGTCTTTTCTTCTTCTTCGTCTTCTGCTTCYCCTTCTTCTTCGTCTATTTCGGTATATATGTATGTATGTCGTCTTGTCTGGGGCTTGGTGGGTGTTTTTTGTTTTTCTTTCTTGGGTATACTTGGTAATTTTGCGGGCCCTTGAGCAGGCAATAATTGATCGATCGACGCACAGCTTTAAACCTAATTATTCTTCTTCTTCTTCAACGTGTTCCGTTAATGTCTATAACCTAACAACAATGCTCAACAATTATAAAAAAAAAAAAACAAAAAAATATATATATCGAGTTATCTTTAACAGCTGCTTAGATGGTAATTCATTTAGAGGTCGACAAAAAAAAAACGTAAGGAAGGAAAGGCTACGTTGGTTACACATAGAATATATAGTATATAGTTTTGATTGCGTATGGCTACGTCTATATGGTTACTCCGCCGTGATTTGTGGGCGGGTCCGGGTCCAGGTCAAGCTATAAAGTGTGCATATGCCGCCCTACTCGTCCAGGCAGATGGTGCGCAATATGGCCTCCACAACGGAGTAGGGATCGCAGTTGGAGCTGGGGCGACGATCCTCGAAGTAGCCCTTGCCGTCGCTGTGGACGCCGCGCGGAATGCGTATGCTGCAGCCACGGTTGGCCACGCCGGCGCTGAAGTCGTTGATCGAGCTCGTCTCGTGCTTGCCGGTCAGGCGGCGGGCGTTGTCCTGGCCCTGCTTGGGATCGTAGGCGCGAATGTGACGCTCATGGCACTTGGAGAGCTTGGCGACGGCCTTCTCGATTTCCTGGATGCCGCCGTCTTCGCGCATCGCCTTGGTGGACACATTGGTATGGGCACCAGCACCGTTCCAGTCACCCGGCATGGGCTTGGGATCCAGAGTGGCGACAATCTAGGGAGGGGAAACAAGGCTATACCGACTGAGCGGGCAGCAGTTGCTTGAGAACTTACGCCAAACTCCTCGGAGATGCGATGCAAGAGGAAGCGCGCCATCCACAGATCGTCGCCGATGGAGATGCCTAGACAGGGGCCCACCTGGAACTCCCACTGGGCGGGCATCACCTCCGCATTGGTGCCGGACACCTTGACGCCGGCGTAGAGACAGGCGCGATAATGCGCATCCACAATGTCGCGGGCATAGACCTGTCATGGACATGGAAACTTAGTACCAGCACACACACACACACCACACACACACACACGCAGTGGCCTCCCGACTCACCTTGTTGGCGCCCACGCCGCAGTAGTAGGGGCCCTGGGGTCCGGGGAAACCGTTCTTGGGCCAGCCCAGCGGATGGCCGTCAAAGTCGAGGAACGTGTACTCCTGCTCGATGCCAAACCAGGGCTCCTCCGCCGTGCACTTGTTGACGACCTCCAGGCAGGACTTGCGTTTGTTCGTCGCCGTGGGGGTGCCATCGTACTTGTAGGTGTCGCACATGACCAGGATGTTGTTGCCGCGTCTAAACGGATCCTTGTACATGGCCACCGGATACAGATAGGTGTCCGAGTTGCTGCCCTCCGCCTGATAGCACGAGCTGCCATCGTAGTTCCACACGGGCAACTCTGCAAAGTGGAGATGAACGAAGATCAATCAATATGAAGGCAGATCAACCAGACGAACTGAGATCAATCACAAGGCGGTCAAGCAGTCAACCACTGGCCTCGCCATGCGATACTCCTCTAATTAACTGTTAATTGGCTTCCGTTTGCAACAGCAGCCACTGTTTCGGATCATTGTAGCATTTCCTGTCTCTCCAAGACCCCAAAGCCGCAATGCTCATCTGTCAGCTATCGCCTATATATGCATGCTAGCTTTATTCTATATAATATTTGGTGTGGAATATATCGTATATCGTATATCCTATAATAGAATACAAATTAGCTATTGCGCACTTGTTCATTTAATTTCCTCCCACCAAGCAGCGCCCCTGCCTGCCCCCCGTATCATGCTCTGAAGCAACCACAACAACAACAGCTGGAAAACCCAACCCTGTTCATCATCGCTGTCTATTGTGAACCTGTCAAACGAGTGCTGCTGGCTGGCCGTGCATTCGTCATGTAACCTGAGCTGTAGAGCCGAGTTGGATGCGTGTCACGTGGTGTCACGACATGTGACTGTTTACAGTCTGACAACAGTTAGACTCGGCTTGCTCATCGCTTCAGCTCTTGGGACTCCGAAACTGTAGTCAATGACCCCCAAAATTGTGAATTACGACTCTACAGAATTACGAACTTTTAAGAGTCTCAATATCATATGAAAGATATACTATAATATATGGTTACTAGCTCAAATACAAATAGGGATCTATTATTTTTGCCATTTAATAATTTATAGCTCACTACTCTTCATACTAATTTCATTTATGTCAACAATAGATGACATCAATCAATTCATTCATAGGCTAAACTAAGATTATATAGATTTATATTATAATCTATATGTAATACACACATCTATAATATTTATATATCTAGTATCTATAAATCTTTCAAGAATATAGCGCAAACTGAACACTCGTGTCACGCGCTCCTCTCTAGCATTTTTCTAGCGGCTTTTCGTGTTGTTTGTGTCTAATTGTTGAAATATTTTCATAACAAAAGTTAGTCTTCTTTCCTCATAAAATAAAAACAAAAACAACATTAATCAAGTTACCTAGAGAGTGAGAGCGAGAGAGTGAGAGAGAGAGAGGGGGGGGGGGTGACCAGAGATTCGTAGCAATGTGTTGTTTCTAGTTGGCAATAGAAAAGTTTCTATAATTAGAAGTTACTGTCGTAGCAGCAGCGGCAGAGCGTCAGCTGTTACCTTGGGCTGACGTTTTCGTTTACTATCTCGTGCCTCACGCTCACGCTCACCCACGCAGCCCACTCGGTGCGCCCCAGATATCAGATATGGCCATGGGTCCGGGGCATGGCAGACGGCAGACGGCAGTCGGCTAGTTAAACAGCTGATTGCCTTAAGCTCCACACGGCTTAAGGGGGTGGGAGGGGGGTCTGGTATTGTCGCCAAGGATAAGGCGAAATTAGGGCTGGCTATTTGCTATGCACTTTGGGCCAATTTGCCTGCACACAAATTGCTCATGCAAAATGCGGCCGTGGCTTAGCTAATGCGAGCAGCAAATGCATAATTAATCAACTTAATTTTCCATCATTTCAATTGACTTGGCAATTGTTTGTTGTCCATGCGAATCGCAGCCAACTCACATATAAGATATGCATACATATAAGTGTGTATACATAGGCAAATAGATAGTTGTATATGCGTGTGTGTGTGCGCGCGGTCTTTTCCTAGCTATTCAGGCACGCGCCGTCGGCGTGTGCTGCGGCAATAATATTAAGCATACGCCCGAGCGGCCAGATGTCGCCTGGCTTTTCGCTGTGCAAACGTGCTGGCACATTTCACACCTATCTGTCTGCATCTCAAATCTAGCTGTATGCCGAAATTACACACATACATATATGCAAATAAACATATACATCAAATAAATCATCTATTTGCTTGCTTGTGTGTGACCTGCATATGAAAATTTAACAGTCGAGATTCTTAATTAGTAATTGTGCACATTTGAGTGCCAAGAAGAAGAAGAAGAGCGTACACTATTTAGTATTATAAGCATAAAAAGAGTTCAACAAAAGCAAGAGCAACGTTTTCTAATTAGAATGCCAATAAGAAAAGTCCCAAACAATTACCATTAGCAATACTATTATTATTATTATTATTGTTTTTTTTTTTTATTATTATTATCATTGTTGTTGCTTCCTGCTTCCGTCTTGACGTGATTTTGCACTTGTTTTTTGTGCTTTTGTTTTGTAGCTCGTCTCAAAAGCTCGCATCGAAACAAAGCGCGCATATTACGCATACGTCGCGTTAGCCAACTAATATCCCACATACACATGGATAAAACAACAAAAATCTGTGTGGCTTCTTTCGATTTGCCTGGTCTGCAGCCGCGCACACGCGTCCTGTCTAATTGCCAGCATTTAGTTTATGGGTGCCTATAAAATTGTGACTGCCTGGCAAACACATTAAAACGTAATCAATTATCAGCGTGAAACCCCTTTTAAGTTGTACGCCTTTATGAACGGCATCGCATTATCAAAACGTCTGTACTAAAATAATTATATAGAATAGTTTTAAGTTTTGCCTATGTTGTTGTTGTGCTTTTGTTAATTCAAAGTCTATAAACATTTGGCAGACGTCTGACGTCGTCGCGCTGGTGTCAAGGCCAAAGCAGCTAAGAACGTAAATTCAGCACGAAATTCTGAATGGGATTTACACTGATTGCGACCGGGAATGGGTTTTGCGCTGATTGGAATTTTTACTGGAAATCAGCTCGGCTTGCGTGCGTATTAATCTGTGCGTAGCAGTTCCTGAAGAGTCGCTCGGATCAGCTGATATAGCAGCCACTCAAGACACTGTGGCAGGGGCAGGGGCAGAGGCAGTGGCGGGGGCAGTGGCAGTGGAAAGCTATGTTTAGCTCAAGTTGTCGCATGATTAGATTAAAATGAGAGCACAGCCAGCCGGCAGTCGGCAGTGGGCAGTCGGCAGTTGGCAGTGTCTAGGTCAGCTAATTGATTCGGTTTGTCCAGGGTGTTTGGCACTTACCCTTGGGGCTGGAGGGTATGAAGTCGAGGGTGCGATCCTTGCAGCGCAGATCCTCGCCGGTGCCATCGATCCACACGTAGGTGGCCTGCACAATGTTATCCTCTAGCGGCAGCGCCAGATAACGGTCCAAGATGGTCTTGTTGATGCGCGCATTGGGCGAGTCTTCAAGAATTCTGGCAGACATACTGATGGTGTTAATGTGTGTGCAGGGATACGATAATGTGTGTGTGTGTGTGTGTGTGTGTGTGAGAGAGAGAGAGTGGAATGAGAGTGAAATGAAATATGCAAATTATATAAAGCAAAAAAAAAAAAACAGACAAAAAAAACAGTTAGCCTTGCACACACGATCTTTCAACTGGCACTCGTTTAGTTAGCTGCGCACCTGTTTCTTGTTCTTTAGCTTTTGCTGTTTGCTGTTTGCTGTTTGCTGTTTTATTTATATTTGTCTTTCGTTGGGTTTGCCAGGACGTTTGCTCTAGTGAAAATTTGTGTCGCTGCGCGCGTAAACGTTACTGGAACACGACTAAGCTGGAATGCGTTATTCCAACTCAATTTATAACGACAAACTAAAATCCAAACGAGCAGAGCAACGGCATTGTTATTACTGCTACTACTTACAACAAGCTGAGCGGACAACAGCAACATCAGCAGCAGCAGCAGCAGCAACTACAACAACAACAACAACAAGAACACTCAATAATAATAATAATAATAATAAAAACAAAATCCAAAAACAAAAGCCAGCGCTGCTGATGTCGTCAACGCAGCAGCGACGCGTCGCCTCGCCTCGACAGAGGTCGCACTGCGCCCACAACCCAACGTCAACGTCGCTGCCGCTGCCGCTGCCACAGTCGCTGGCGGCCAGCGCATGCGTCTCTGCTCGTTAGCTCTTCTTCTTCTTCTTTGTGCTGCTGCTGCTGCTGCTGCTGCTGCATGATCGACGCGAGCAACGCCAAAAGTCCCGGTGCCATCTAGAGGTGTGCCCGTGTCGTAAACGATACGATGCGATACGATCATTTCACATTTACGATATACTGTACGTATTTTGATTTACGATCAAAACAGTGCAGCGCAGTCCATTACGTTACTGTTGTTGTTGTTGTTGCTGTTGTTGCTGATAAGCGCTTGATTAATGCGTGTACTACGAATTATTTAGCGTTAAATTTAACACTTTACTAATTTAGCATACATTTTGGCATGACGATGCCTTGTGGCTCAGGCTCGGGCCAGATTCCCAATGATTCACACTCCTCTCCCTTCCAGCTACTCCTTCAGCGTGTGCTAATCATTGGCAACTAGTGATTAATTAACGTTCTCGCCAGCTATCGCACGGGATATATAAATATATCACTTGAGTTTGCTCTCTATTTACGACACGCGCCCATCTCTAAGTCCGATGCTGCCATAGATAATAGCAGAGCGTCAACTATTTTATTTTATTTTTGCGATATGCAACGTCATTGTTATCGGCTGATGTCGGATGTACACACGCACACACACACACAAGCACACGCACACCCCTTGGCACTGATATGCATATTAGTATATCACAGTGAGAGCCTGAGAGGCTCACCCAGGCATACTAGATAAAAACAATCAACGAGCGCTCGCCCATTTAGGTTTGATTATCTAAATCTGTGTGATTATCTTTGGGCTTGATTGGTCTGATTAATCTGTGGCGGGCTGCAGATCATATGGTCTCTGCTGATACTCTGAATATCTAGCAGAGATACATACTCATATACATAAATATATATGGATGTACAGTATCTTCAGAGAAGAAGCAGAAATTTTCAGAAAGACCATTTTTCTTCTTATAAAATGAGAAAAAAATATAAAATATATCTACATACAAAAAAGAGGAAGAACAAACTCTCAAAACCATCATTAGCAATTAAATGAAAAAAAAAGACTATGAATACATACAGAGATATATATATTATACAAGAAGACTAGAAGAAGAAGAACATTATTAAAAGATCATTGAAAAATAAAGTGAAAAATCGCAGCAAAAACTTGATTCAGTTTATTAGCTAACGTTATCCAAAATTTATTACATTGCTAATGATCCATGATTCAGTCTTCGATAAAGAAAAGGGCCTTTAGACCTTACATAAATGATCAATGTCGAACCAAACTGTAATCTAACAAATGTCACAAAAATAAAAATCTAATCTATCAATCAAATCAATAACTAGAAGAATTTGGGACTTGAAGAGCGAATCTGAACTATCGGAATGATAAAGAAAATGATGTATGTATGTGTGTATGTGTAATTATGATATGTATGCATGTTAGTATATGTATATGTAAGTTAGGCTACGTATGTGTGCTGCTATTTATAGGAGTTGTTCCAACTTACGATGAATGCATGTTGCATAAGCTCTTCTGATATTGCTCTCCTTATCTTACGTCGTTGTTAATTGACGAAAATTACGTATTTAAAAGTCGATTTGAGCTTGTTTTTTATTATTAACTGCTATTATTATTATTTATTTATTTATTTATTTTTTTTTTTTTGGCTATAAACTTTACTCCAGCTGTTATTGATTGCGATCTTAGCGAACTCTTGACTTTTGACCGAAAATCCGTGTCCGTTAAATTGGTTACTCGACTTAAATTTGGGGCTTAGGATATCTATGGAGACTGTTTAGGATTTAGAGACGTTCTGGTCGAACTGCGCACTTCTAGCGGCGATTGGTCAGCTTATATACCAGTTTGCTGGCCGACTGCGGACGTGGACGTGGGCCAGAACTGATGCGGCGCTGCGATGTTCGGCTCTTTCTTGATTATACTTATGACGTCTTAACAAAAACACACATAGACCTACCATGTGCTAATTACCCATTCAAGATTCTCACACATTGAGTTTGGCGCTGTTTGCTTAATTGTCTGCCTTATGCATATTTATATTTGTACACATTAAACATATGTATGGATACATATACATATATAATATAAATATATACAATGTCTACTGGAGTATACGATCTGTCTTATCTTCAGAGTTATTGGCCACAGTCAATCGTTTGCCAAGGCCAATTATCAACGGCATACTTTTAACTAAGAGTGTCTGCGATATGGAATATCTGTAATACAATGAATACATTGAGTATAATTGGAGTATATTTGAAGAGCTATTAGCGCGCGAGTTACGATAACAAAGGTCGCGTCGTTTGCTGGGGGAGGTGCAGAAAGAGAAACGATAATAAGTTCGAGCTGCTTTTCGCGTTTTTCGATATTTCGCTCGCTCTCCCTCACTTTCTATTCTATGTATTTATAGATCAGATTCTTCCTCTATCCTTTTGTTTTTCTTTTTATAGACCCCTTCCATATCTTTTTCTTTCTCTGAAATTTCCCCTTTGACCTACCCTTTCCCTTCCTCTTTTATCTTCATCACTATTTTTCTTTCACTTTCTCCGTTTACTTTCTTCTCTCTCTCTCTCTCTGTCTCTCTTTCGCGCTTTCTCTCTCTCTCTCTTCTTCCTTCTTTAACTCAAGTTCTCTTCTTTATATACATATGCGTAATATATCTTCTATTTGAGGTCTTTGTTCATATCTCTTTATGTATTCCTCTCTATATCGAACTCCTTCTTAGCCTCCCTCTTTTCGTCTCTCTGTATTTTCTCGTGCTCTATCGCTCTATTTCTCCACCTCCCTCGATCTCGCTGTTTATATAACTTTCTTACATCCAATGTGCTCTTGTTATCTCGTTTTCTCTCTCTCTCTCTCTCTCTCTCTCTCTCTCTCTCTCTTTATAACTGTCCCTCGATTTATTCCAATCGAGATTTACATCGTTCTACCGGTTTCTACCTGTCTCTCTATCTCTCTCCCCCTCACTCCCACGCTCTTCCTCTCTCTCTCTTTCTCTGTTTCTCACACTCTAAGTGTAGCACGTCATACAGTTCAACATATGCGTTAAGGTCATAACATAACATTTTTTCAGCATTTTACACGCGTCGTTTGCCATACAAATTAATCTGGAAGTCAAGTAGTAAGAACAGCATTAGCCAGGCAATCTAAAAATAAACGCAAATAAAGGCAGCCAGACGACTGGACGATTGTCCGATATAAAAATACTTAATTTTATTTAAACTCTTAATGAACAATTAACATACAAACAATTACACTGCGAGAAAACTGATCGGAAATGCTTCAAACTATGCCTAAACCAGTTTTTTTTTTTGAATCAATAAATTAACTAAGAAGCATTTTAAAACACGTAAGAAAACGCCAGTCGGCATGCCCGACTAGGACATGCCCTGAATATCGAATGACCGGGAGTTTCTAAAATTATTAGTTATGTTATTAAAGCAGGAAGCAGTGCAAATCTATAAAAATGTACGACTTAAACGAAGTTCACACCTTAATAATCAAATAGCCCATTCAAGTCCATAAAAAAGAGATAAAAGAAACATCAAACATAGCCGAGTTTCGAGTTTTTTGCCTATGATCTACATGCTCTATTAAACCAACAAACGTCAGATTACTAAATATTCAAACTAATTTACATTTTCTTTCTTTTCATTCAAATGATAATAGAAATCAAAATAAAATACTCCTGAAACTAAATACAAAATTTGGAGACTCTAGCTCTACAAGACATAATTTTTAACTGTATTATGATTTGTGTTTAATCGATAATATTAAAATGGAATGAATATCAATTTTGTTGAAACTAGACAATTCAAGCCTCTAGCTCTTATGAGTTCCGAGATCGATGCGTTCATTCATGCGGACAGACGGGCGAGAATGAATCAAAGACGGACAGGCTCAAACGTCTTGGCATATCATGCTGATGAAGCATATATATATACATAGTTGCAAACAAAACCTGTATATCTTCATTAAATAAACGTAGATTTATATACATATGTACATGTATATCATTAACTTTTTCTTAATATATGGAATATATTTTA